ATGGGGTTTGTTCCTGTTCAGGCCTTAACTGAAGGCAGCCTCTGCTTCAGATGGGTGGTACCAGTGGCTTCTTAATTCCAATACTAATTTGCTTTGCTGACCAAATACCTGGTACCAGAAGAAGGTGAGGCAGAGATTGGGAGCAGCAATGTGGCCCTGGGGCTGAGCCCTAGACTCGGGGCTCTGTATATAGCTATGAAGAAAACACAAAGTGTATAAATCTGAGTATATATTTACATGTCTTTTTAAAAGGGCCGTTACTAGAGATTTACCCATTGGGTGAGATGCTCCTGGTGGATGGGAGGCATCCGTTGCTATATATTAAAAACAAAAACAAAAACAAAACAAAAAAAAGGAAAATGTTTTTTAAAAGGTCATATATTTTTTGCTACTTTTGCTGTTTTATTTTTTTAAATTATGTTTTAGACCTATCTTCAGTTTAGGTCCCTCAATAAAAATTGCTGCTGCTTCATTTTTATCCTGGGTGTGTGAAAAGGGAGCAGATGTCCCCTGCACAGGAGGGAGACAAGGACTAAGGGGCCGTGAGCTGTTGGCACTGTGTGCTTTCTGTATTTCCCTGATCTCCCAGACAACCCTTCTATCTCTGATGATTTGGGAAAGACAGGGAAAGAAGACCAAAGTGGCAGAGGGCAGAGAATCAAGACTGCAAGCTTGCTTCCTTCTACCATAGATTGTTTCAGATTGTTTCCTGAGGGGACAGAGACTCAGAGCCCAAACCCTGTGTAGAGAGAGAAAATTTGCATCTATGAGAGAAAATTTGTCACTCAAAGCTAGTCTTGTCTTTCCCAACCTACTCTCCATTTCTTTTCCCATTCATATCCTCCCCTTCCTGAGTCCTGTTAACAGGTTATGTTTGTTGGAACTGTCCTTGAGCTTGGCTTATAATATTTTCCTGTACAAACTCCACCCACCCCTCAGGAAAGGGAAAACAATCTCCTTTGCTTTGGGTCTGTTTGGAGACTTATGCCACCTGCTGGTGGTTATTGTCCTCTTCAGGTGGCACCTTGGCATCTCACTCAGACCAGTGCTGCTCTATTCTTAGTGCTTACTGCTGGGTCACTGCTGAATACAAGGCAGTTCAGTATGCCTTTATCCTCCAGGGGCTAGGCTGCTTCTTTAAGTACATTCTGAGCAGGGTGTTTTTGGTGGCTGTGGTTTTGTTCATCAGCATGAAGTTGTTATCATTGTTTCTCTCTGTAAACATGTAACTGTCAAAGTATTACAAGTGTTTTCTTGTACTGAAAGGTATAATTCTGTGAAGAGAGCCAGGGAATGAATTTTAGCTCAGATTCATCTGCTTAGACACCATATCATAGTGTTGTTTTCCTTGTTAAAATAGTGACCATAATTTCTGCCTCAGCTCTACTTGACTCAATGTTGTGTGGATGAATGGGAGAGTCTACAAAGGAAAGGTGTTAGGAAGTATAAGGCGCTCAAGTCCTTGCTATTGCTATTCAAATTGCCCACAAATATCCCTCGAGACAGGGATGGCTATCAAATAAAAGATAGTAAAATTGACCTGAAAGAAAATGAAATGGCTATTTTACTTAGATGAGCAGACCGAGTCTCTTGGGAAAGGGAGCCCAGGTTATATGATGAAGATGTGCTGTCAAAGTATTGCATCTGTCTGGTTTCCCAAGGGTTAAAGTATGGCCAACGCATCAATCAGTACTGCCTTCCGTCGTTCTAATTGCCAAAGGCTAGAGATCATCAGTCCCTTGGCTCTGTTAATGTAATATATTGATTTCAGGTAAGTAAGATTGAACGTAGATGAAGTATGAACTCTGCCTTAATGGTAATGAAGTCTGTCTATCAGCTGCCACTGGGTGGAGCCAGCAAGCTAAAGTCCCCCTACTGTGTTAGGTAACGGGCCAGTTTGCACTGATGTAACAGACCTACCTGTGGTATTCCTTGGCCTGGATTTAGTATTCTAAAACTCTGGACATGACCAATATGGTTTGTGCAGAATTAGACCTGTCACAAGTGCAGGATGATACTATTATATGCCACCAACAACTATTATGGTGTGAACCGTGTCTAGTGTCACTCCAGGTACATGTTAGAGGTGGCCTAAAATTGTACCCAGTGAGATTATTAGTAGCTGGTAGAGCCAAGGCACCTATATCTGCAGGGGGAGAGGAAAGCAGGGAGGGAGAAAAGAGGACTTTGAAGTACCTGGCATGGTCTTCCAGCCCCTTCGCTAGTAGAAACCAGGAAGGGGGAAGACCAGCAAGAACCCTGAGGTTGGCTGGACCTGGTGGCACTCAGGAGGCAGAGGCAAGCAAATTGAGTTCACGGCCAGCCTGGTCTACATTGTGAATTCAAGGCCTGCTAAAGATGCACAGTGAGACTGTCTAAAAGAAAAATAAGCAAGAGCACTGAAGTTGTGATGGCTCCTGGAACCAGTTCCCTCACTAGACACAACATTGTCTGGAATCATCTTTGCAGTACTGCCTCCCAGATGCATGCATGTTCTAGTAAAAGCTGCCAGTCATAGGTTCCAGTGGTGTGCTGGAGTTCGTCTCAAGAGCTGGGTACGTGCTTGTTTGCATTAAAGTTAACCCTGGGGTGCATTTCCATCCTTGGGATCTGCAGCTGTGGTTACTGGTCACTGGCCAGAGCACTACCAGTGAGTTTTCAGCTTGGAGTTAAAGCCATGTATCCCAAATGTTGAAAATGGGAGCATTGATAGCATCTATAAAGATGGGTAGAGAGAGGGAGATATCAAGTACCTTATTAGCCAAGAAGTTAGCAAAAACAAGTAAAGCTACTAGTTCAAAGCCAGTTTGGGCTACATGAAATGTCTTAAAAAACACACACACACACACACAAATGCCCAGTCATGGTGGCACATGCCTTTAATTCCATCACTTGGGAGGCAGAGGCAGATGAATCTCTGCTATCAAGGCCAGCCTGGTCTACAGAGAGTTCCAGGACAGCCAGGACTACACAGAGAAACCTTGTCTTAAAACCCAAACAGCCCACAAATGAAACAAAACAAAGTAACAAGTGAGCAGACCTGGTGGCACATACATGCCTTTCATATCATACCAGAACTCAGAAGGGCAGCAGCTGGTCATCTCAGCAAATTCAAGGCCAGCCTGCTCTACTTAGTGAGTTCTAGGCCAACCAAGATTGCACAGTAAGATCCTGTCTCTGAAACCAAAAAGTAGAACAGAGAAAGCACAACTGATGCCCATAGTAACTAGAGTTAAAATCAAGGGCTGGAGAAATAGCTCAGCAGTTAGGAGCATTGACTCTTCTTCCAGAGGTCCAGAGTTCAATTCTCAGCAACCACAAGGTGGCTCATAACCATCGGTAATGGGACCTGATTCCCTCTTATGATGTACAAGAAGACAGGTCACTCACACCTAAAAATAAAGAAATATTAAAACAAAAATAAAACCTCTTAAAGAGGTGAGTTTTATTGTGATGCTCCTGGTTAGATCAATGGCGACATCATAGAATGATGTATTAACACAGGGCTTCATCAGTCTGGAGAAATCAGTTAATTAGCAGCACAGGTGGGGCTTGTCCTCCATGACAAAGGAGAGTTTTGTGGTTCATTTTCTGGGCTTGGGATGTAGTTCAGTTGCTAGCACATGAGACCAATCATGAGGGTTAAGAAGGATGTGGTTGTGGTGCATGCCTTTAGTCCCAGCACTCGGGGAGGCAGAAGCAGAGGCAGATAGATCTCTGAGTTTATAAGACCAGCCTGATCTACAGAACGAGTTCCAGGACAGCCAGGGCTAGATTTGAAAAGAAAACTACATTAGATTTTGTCACAAAAACCAAACAGCTGAAGTGTGTGAAGAGCTGTTGGCGTTTCCTTAGGGGATCCCAGCTTGTGCTCCCATCTAACTTCCAATTCCATAGTGAGCAACTCTCAACTTTATTGTGCAAAGGTTGATGTACCTTTTCCTTTCACCTCTCCACAACCAGATGAAGAGGCTCTTGATGGCTGTTTGTCAATCAAAAACACTAAGCTTCAATATCTGGCATACTTGTTACCAAGTAGCAAAGGGATTGTTATCAGAACTACTACTAACCTCTGTGGCGTGACAGGCTGACCAGAAAAATATCCAGCACAAATGGTTAAGATTAATTATGTGCTAGAATAATGTCTGCCTTCCAGATTCCTGTAGCGTCTGGATTTAGGATGAATGTCTGTCTGTCTCTCTTTTTTTCAAGATAGGATCCTACTAGATAGTTCTGGCTGTCCTAGAACTCACTCTGTAGATCATGCTAGACTAACTTCACAGAGATCCACTTGTCTCTGCTTCCTGAGTGCTGGGATTAAAAGTGTGTGCCACCACAGCCTGGCTAGCTAATCTCCTTTTAAGATTATTTTTTATGAGTCTTTCGTTTGCTTGTATGGATGTGTATCACATGCATGACTGTGGAATTCAGAAGAGAGTGCTGGGTCCTGTGTAACTGGAGTTAGAAATGGTTGTGAGCCACCATGAAGGTGCTGGGTTAAGATCAAATGGTCTTAACCACTGAACAATTGCTCAGCACCGCTAATCTGTTTCGACTTCTTTCCTTCAAGATGTTTTGTCTTCCTGGAAGTATACCCAACCTGGTCCTCAGGTACTTATGGCACTGTCCCACTGATGAGTCACTCTGCAAGGGTGGGTCAAGTGCTCTTAAAAGTGGTTTTGGCAATCTCCATGTTCTGGCTAGGGGTTCCACACCACAGGAGGCAGAGGTACCCAAGGTGCCAAGCTGACTCCATTATGGAAAACATTTCCTCTTAAAAGGTCTGAACCACTTGTACTGTAATCTCAGGTACTTGGGAGATGGCAGGGCAGGGGGCGTGGAGGGTAAGGTAAAAATTCAAAGCTAGCCTGGGCAATTTGACCTTACCTCAACATTTACAAAAGAAACCCAGTGATGGAGTAGTTGCCTAGAAACCACAGGGCCCTCTGAGTTCACTCCCCAGCACTGTCCCCCTCCAAATGCACACAAACAGGAAGCCATTCAAAAACAAGATGGGAGTGGGCTTTATTCAAGGTTTAGTAGGATGACACATTATACAGTAGAAATAGACCACAATTAAGATTCTCTGAATGGCCTGAACTCGGTGTCACTGCTTGCACATCTGGAATGATCATGAGACCTCCAACGACTTAATGGCTGATCCTTTATCACAAGCCAAACAGTCTTAGCTAGAATTTCTTCATGGATGACAGTGACTGCAGAGAGTGAGCTCCATCTTCAAGGGGTCCTTAGGCTCCTTTTGAATTAGCCTTGCTGTTCTGTGAGGTCTTCTGGGATTTGGCCTGGATAATCTAGGTGCAAAACAAGACTTTAACCAGTTTAAATTAGGGGTCCCCTTTTACCTTCTTATCCAAACTAATGGCCACAAACCAGGCTCACAATGTGGGTCATGCCTGGTATCCCTGCCTGACTATAATCCCAGCCCCCAGGCAGGTGAGGTTGGAGAACTGGCTCGAATTCCAGGAAAGCCTGAACTAGAGTGAGCTTCCTTTACCCACCCCCTACCCCAAAGGAAAGCAACTAGACAATGGCCATGAAGTCATGTGTGTCAATTGCTTTGGTAATAAAGGTGAAGACACAAGCAAGCATGAACCTTGGGATCCTCTACTGAATGCCTGCCCAGCTACAGGCTCACAGACTATCCTATAGTGGACTTTCCCCCAACCGCTCCAGTGGGTGACGTTCCTACTGTTCGATTTTGTCATGCTTATATCTACCCTCCCACAAACTCTTTCACCCAAATAGGAGAAGTGGGCACAGAAATATATTTGCATGCATTTTTCCTGACATTAGAAACCTATGGAAACTATATAACATGTGGAAGCTATTTGCATTCAGCACATAATAAGGATCTGCCTATACTGTAATTAGCTTCTAGACTTTACATGCTTAGGTCTGCTCTACCATTGCATTGGTGGGGGTTGTTTTGTTTGTTTATTCTCTGCTTTTGGATAAATGAGGTAAAAAGAAAGCAATTATGAGATGATCACAGTCCAGCCTCCTGTTTCCTGTTTGGAAGGCAGGGAGAATTGTGCGGTGTTTTGCGGTGCTCTTACAGATAACCAAGGGGAGAGAGTTGTCTCTGTGGGCTACTTACTGCTTCTTTGGAGATGCTTGCTGATGGTGTTATGACTGAAGATGGTACTGGGGGCAGTTTTATAAATTCTTCATCCTTGAACATCACAACTGAGAGATTAGTGATTTAATATAGCACACATGAGGATCTACCACAAATATCAAGGACTCTTAACTACTTTTTATTATGTAGCGTTTGAAAGGTGAAAAGTCTGAAAATTGCATTCATTAAAATGTTGATTTAAAAAAAATTATTTTTGGCAGTGCTGGTGATGAAAGCTGTGGTTTCCCAGTGAGCTACACGCCTAGTCCCTTATGTTGAATTTTTTTAGAAACTAATATTAAACACCATAATAGATGTTCATTTTTAGCAAGTAGTACTGTATTGAATATTTTCATTAGGAGGGTTAAAAATGCAGACTTGGCTGGCTGTGCCTACCTGTCATCTCAGCACTTGGGAGGCTGAAGCAAAGGAGATCAAGTAGAAAGAAAGCAGCTAACCTTAGTTCCCTTTAGTTGAGGTGCAGGATCTACAACATTCTCTTGTGACTCAGGGGAAGTAGATGATGCTGAGACAAGGTTTGTCTTTGGAGCCTGGGGAAACATGAAGTCATTGTAAATATCCTCTGATTCTGCCTGTGTGTGTGTGTGTGTGTGTGTGTGAGAGAGAGAGAGAGAGAGAGAGAGAGAGAGAGAGAGAGAGAGAGAGAGAGAGAGGACTTCACCATGTAGATCTAGTTGACCTAGAACTTACCTCTGCTCAGATTAAGGGTATGTGCCTCACTACATCTTTCTGTTTTGTTGTTTTGAGATGCATCTCACTATGAAGTTAGCTTGGAACTCACTATATAGACCAAGCTGGTCTTGAACTCACAGAGATTCCTCTGCCTTTGTCTCTGAGTGCTGGGACTAAAGGCGTGTGCTACCATGCCTAGTAGACTAAGCCTTTCTTCTTCTTCAGTTCAAACTCATTTCCCTTTATTAGACTAAGCCTTTCTTGAGTTACATGGAATATGCTCCTTCAAAAGCAGGTTAATATTTGAATTTTGAGTGAGTATACACCCGCATACTATTTACATTCTAGGATTTAAAATACTTAGTTCTAGGCTAGCCAGGTATACATATTAAGACCCTGTCTTAAAAAAAGAAAAAGTGGAGGTGGGGCATGCCTTTAACCCCAGCATTCAGGAGGCAGAGGCAGTTGCATCTCTGTGAGTTTGCAGACAGCTTGGTCTACAAAGTGAGCCTCAGGACAACCAGAGCTACACTGAGAAACCCTGTCTCAAAAAAGGAAAAAAAAAAAAAAAAATCAGTCTGTTCTACATAGAGAGCTCCAGGTTTAATCAGGGCTTCACAGTGATATGCATCCCAAAATAAACAAAAGCCCCAAAACATAAAATAAGTTGGCAATTATGGTACTGGCCCCAGTTATTTAATTAACTAATTAATAAAGTTAGCAGGGCAGTGGTGTGCACACCTCTAATCCCAGCACTCAGGAGGCAGAGGCAGGCAGATCTACAAAGCAAGTTCAAAGACAGGGCTACACAGAGAAACCCTGTCTTGAAAAAAAAAAAAAAAAAAACTACAAGTATTAAAAAAAAAAAAAAAAGATTAATGAGTTGAATAGAGACAAAAGGTTAACTTTCTAAATTAGCCCTCATTGGCTTGAACATTTATAGGAAACTGAACAAATGAAATGGGAAAGAAATGGAAGCATTAGTGTGGAAGGAGAAGCTAATGAAGGACATTAGCTGCTGTAGCCAGTTACCCTAAATTCCCAAAGTAGTGTCTGCTCTCTCTGGAGAGGCCTGTAATGGTGGCAGTCTGGGTTCGGCATCAGTTCACTCACCTCTATACTTGGTGGTAGTTCGATAGGCTTTGGCTTCACATCTATTAGGTAGAAGGTTCTTGACAGGAGCAAAAGAGAAGGGGGGACATTCTCCTTCAGGTGGAGGTCCAGCCACTAGAGAATGGAAGGTAAGGAGCCATGGAGTCAGAGTCCTTCCTGTGGACCTCTTCTTCCCAAGCACACTGATAGATAGCCTGTGGCACTAGGATGAAAACACCAGCCTCCTGGCTTCTGCCCCTGGGCTAGTACCTAGCAACCACTACTGCCAGTCACTTAACCTCCTCAGCCAATTCCAGATCCAAACAACAATGGATCTTCTCTAAGCAAAAAGTAGATGGTGTGGAAGAAAACACAGAAGCCAGGGAATCCTGTAGTCTAGACTGTCTAGACTGGGGAGGCTGAGGAAAGAAGCTGAGTTCAAGGCCAGCCTGAGCTACATGGTAAGAGCCTGGCTCAAAATCATTAACACCTATTAACCTATGAAATCAACCTCAGAGTGAAAGTTTTTTGTTTGTTGTTGGCTTTTTAATCTTTTTAAAAAAATTTTATTTTTTTTTTTCTATGTGGTTTGGTATTTTGCCATGTGAGCTGCCATGTGGGTGCTGGGATTTGAACCTGGATCCTTTGGAAGAGCATTCAGAACTCTTAATCGATGAACTCTCTCTCCAGCCCCCTTGTTTTTTGTTTTTGTTTTGTTTTAATTTTATTTTTGCTATGCAACCCAGGCTTCTCACTTGTGATCCTCTTGTCACAAGACTCCTAAGTGCTGAGATGACAGGCATGAGCCACTATGTCACAACTCTCTACATAATGAGTAACACACACTGTACTGTACTTTGCTTTTTATGGTGTGTGTGTGTGTGTGTGTGTGTGTGTGTGTGTAATGCACATGTGTGGGTCTGAGTCCCTTTTGGAAGGGATTCTGTCCTCCTTCACCCGTTGGTTCTGTAACCTGAATGCAGATGCAGGTGTCAGGATTTTGCCAGATGAGAGAGCCATCTTGCCAGCCTTCTTTGTCCTTTGCTTCTTATCCCCACTGCAATAGCTTAAAATTGATTTATGTCAGTTGATGCAGTAATACCCTCTTAAATACTTAGACAGTTCCCATTGTATGAAAAATGCCATATTTTATTTGATAATCCTATTAATGACCTTTGGGGTAATTCTAATAATTAAAAAAAAAAAATGGTGCTGCAAGGATGAAGATGGTAGTGAACACTTTTTTTTTCTTTTTTTTAAAGATAGTGTTCTGCCTGCATGTGTTCCTGCAGACCAGAAGAGGGCACCAGATCTCATTACAGATGATTGTGAGCCACCGTGTGGTTGTTGGGAATTGAACTGAGGACCTCTGGAAGAGCAGCGGTCTATCTTGCCAGCCTTAAATCCCAGCACTCAGGAAGTAGTGGCAGGTAGATCTCTGAGCTCAAGGGCAACCTGGTCTATATAGTTGTAGCGATAGGGGCAGAAGGTGGCTCAGTGGTTAAGAATGTACTCTGCTCTGGCAGAGGACCTGGGCTCAATTCCCAGCACCCACACCAGGCAGCTCACAGCTGGCTCTAACTGCAGCTCCATTTGATCATCAGATGCTCTGGCCTCCACATTCTCTGTTGTTTTTCAGGCAAAGGTCTCATGCTCTCTATAGCCCAGGCTGGCCTTGAACTCTTGGTGATCCTCATACTTCAGCTTCCTGAAGCTGAATTACAGGTATCACATACTAAGCCAGACATTGTTTGTTTTTTTTTTTTAATTTGAAAGATTATGCGGTTTGTCTTCATAGGGATTTTATTTTTCAACTAGCAATGGGGAAGTGTCCTTCTAGGTAAGCTCTAACAGAGTCTGAACTTAGCTGATCTGTGAATGTGACCATGTCTTTGTTATAAGATAATTCACGCTTATCATTTTTACTATCTTTTAATTTCTTGAGACAAGGTCCCACTCTAAAGTCCATGATGTCTTAACTTACTATATAGCCCAAGCTTGTCTCAACTAATGGCACTCCTCCTGCCTCAGCCTGCAGTACACTGGGATTACCCTATAGCTAGTGTAATGTATAAGAGGACAGTTGCTACCTAACATGTTTCTCAGTGACAACACTGCCTCCCATCCCCAAATAAATAATCTTTACATGTTATAACTTTTACACTGATAACACTGAGGACCCAACAGGAGTTGCTCTTGGTTTTCGAGTGTACTGCTGCTGTTAGAACAGTGTTCTTTCTGATGGGCAGCACAGACATCTACCAAAGCCAACACCATATACTGGTGTGGAGCTCAAGAAGAAAAGCAGCCAAAGTGGGCTCCTGGACACCATCTGGGCCCTGCACAGGCTGGCAACAATGAGAGTCCTCTGTATGAGAATCTTATTTTGGTGTGGGCAAATTTCAAGTTGGCCCCCAAGAGCTACCATATATTCACATCTCCCAGTTATTCAAACATTAGTCTAGATCAATGTTCTCAACCCCTTTGGGGATTGAATAACTCTTTCACAAGGGTCACCTAAGACCATGGGAAGACATAGATATTCACATCATGATTCATAACAGTAGCAAAATTAGTTATGAGGTAACAACAAAACAATGTAATGGTTGGGGGGGGGATAAGTAATTTAATGGTTGGTGGTGACTGCAGTAAAGGATTGCAGCACTGGAAAGTTTGAGAACCACTGGTCTAAATTCTTCTTGAAGGGATTTTACAGATGGGATTGAGGTCTCAAGTCAGTCTAGTGTGAGGGAAGGTCCAGGGAGCATTACCTCATTACTACACTTGGAGGCCCAAAATGGGAAATGCCAGATTTGAAGCACATGACAGACTTTGCCGATGGAAGAAAGGGCCAAGAGGTAAATAACACAGGTGGCCTCTTGGAGCTGAGAGTAGGCTGGCAGCCAATGAGGAAGCAAGAATATCTTCCTCACTACAGCTGCAGCAAATGCAGGCAATTCAGTCTGAAGGAGTCTGGGAGTGGGCTTTCCCCAAGACTCAGCCAGCTTACTGAAGGAGTCAGTGGGTTACCCCAGAAACCCTTTGGGCTGCTATTGTAATCATTTACAATGGTGGTGATTGTAAATGATCACACTATAGACTATAGAGGACTGTGGTCCCCTGCCCCTATCCAAGGGAAAGGATGAACCTCTTTAGGGTATGTTTAACTGCTCCGTGAAATAATGCCAATGAGGTAGGGTGGCTTAGCTGTTTGGACCTTAAATGTTCCTCCACGTTCCATGTTTTGAAAGCCTGCTCACCAGACTGTGGTGCTCCTGGAGTGTGGAATTTTTAGGAGGTGATGCCTCATGGGAAGAAGATAGAGCCACTGAAGGGAATGGTGGGATCTTGTTTCCCTTTTCTTTGCCTTAAAAAAAAAAAAAAAAAAAAAAAAAAACCCAGCAACAAAAACAGGGTCTCATTTCATAGCCTTGGCTGTCCTGGAACTATGTGGACCAGGCTGACCTCAAACTCACAGAGATCTGCCTGCCACTGTCTCCCAGATGCTGGGATTAAAGGTGTGCTTGTCTTTCTTTGCTTCTTGACCACAGTAAAATGAACAAGACTCCTCTACTGTGTGGTTTTGAAAGATGACCTGTGCTGGCATAGAGCCAGAGAAATGGGACCAAGCAACTGCTGGCTGAAAACTTGGAAGCCAGAGCCAAAAGAAATCTCTGCCTTCAGATGCAAATTATCAAGGCAATGAAGAGCTGACTAACAAATCACCACAGGGGGGGCTGGTGAGTCCAGGGAGGAAGCCTTAGTGAAGAGGGTTGGAGTTCTGCTTGCCTCTGTGAGTTGCTGCCACAGTTGTTCCTCTGTGAGGCCTAATGATCTCATCCCTCGGGCCCGGCAGGCAGCCTGCAGCTCCGAAACACTCAAAGCCTTCGCCCCTTCTTTGGCAATTATCTGCAAGAAGTGGAAGGAATGGTGTTAGAACTTTGGCTTTCAATTTTACTTAATGCCAGCAAAATCGATAGGAAACCAAAATCTGATGCTTTGGCCCTCTGTCCTCTACATGGATTGCTGCAAACCAGCACACTGCCAGGATACTGCTAATAGGCAGCAATAGAAGATAATTATATTGCTGCTCCCAACATTTTATCAGTAAAGCCCTTCCCATCTTGGTTTGGATTTTGCCTGGCTGTAACATCTATTTTTCCTTTTCATTTTTAGGGCTTGTTAGAAAAAAAAATCCATCCTGAAAAGCTTTCTGCTGCCATCTGTGGTGTGTCTCAGAGTTGTTTCCTTATCGCTACCCCAGAGTGACCTGAGTTCTCTGGTCCACAAGATTCCTGATAAATAACAATTTCTGAATGTGATTCAAAACTAGTTCTTCTGGAACCAGTATTGTTTATTCAAAAGTTCTGAAAGCAACATCCAAAATCTAAATAGGGCAATGTACTCATGGTTTCCCTGTTTTGGGAAACCTGCTCCCCCCAAGTAGAATATTACAGCAGCTGATTTTGATTCAGGAAACATTCTTTCCATGGTCTTAAGGAGCCTAATTAGTAGTTATACTCTAAATGGTGCCTTCTACAAGATGGCTAGACCTTGGTTTTCCTCCCACCATTGTGCTCTGCCACCCTCTTTTTTACTAACTCACCCAGGATATTAACTTTGGCACCAGGTCCTTCTTCTGTAGGAGAAAGGAGGTGTGTGTGTGTGTGTGTGTGTGTGTGTGTGTGTGTGTGTGTTATGCAGGAGTGCTGCCAAGAAAAACTGAGCTGATATTTCCTTCCCAGCAGGTCCTAACTACTTTAGATTAGTCCCAGCTAATACATCCAGATTACTGGCTGCTTACAATGGCCTTCTCAAGAAAATAGATCCTGATACAACAAACAAATATTGAAATGAGTAGTGAAAGTTGAAGTTGTCACAGTAGTGGGTTCTTTAAACCATTCATTTTGCCAGAATGACTCTATGACAGACCCAATAGAGAACAGCGCGTTTCACAAAGGTACCTGCAGGTGTGTCCTGGACCCCCTATTGCTGTGCTTAGGCTCTTACTTTGTCATCTGCTTTTATAGACTTCAGTGTCATCAAGAGCTGGAAGCGGAGCAGATTGTTTGTTCCGAAAGTCTGCAATTCCAGCAGCTTACACAGGGCAACCAGCTGGGATCGATCTAAGTGTTCCAGGGCTAACTGGTCCTCGAAGAGTTTAGAGAAGCGAACTATCTCCTTAGTGCTGGGCCTGTGGCCTGTTTGGACCTAGGCAATGGGACAAAAGCCAATTACAAGGTGTTTCCTACTTGCCGTAGACCTCTCAATAGACTATTTCTGAGAGATGTTAAAGCAGTTAAGAGACTTTATGTGTTATATCGGAATGGATCCTGTGGTTCATTGGGAATAAAAAGTCTATTGTGGAGCTGTAGCTCTTTGGGAGACAGGGCATTTGCCATTCATGCCTGCCAGCCAGGTTCAATGCCTAGTCTAATACCCACTACCCCAACCCCTTCCCAAATCTTTCTATAATCAAACTTAGTCGCTAAAAAAAATCAGTATTTCTAGTTTGTATTGATCTTTCTTTCCATGATGATCGATCACTTTAAGGTAGCATTTATTGTTTTTTTCAAACTATCCTAAATGTTTAAAGTGTTGTATATTTATAATTTAAATATGTAGCATTTCTGAGATTCTGAGCAATCTGGATGCTCCATGATGACATGCTTCTTCTGTAACTCCAACCCAGGTGCCATTGGCCTAGTGTGAGCCCCTGACACCTGTTTTACATAAGAAGAAAGCTGTGAAGAGGCATCTCCCAACTTGGCTAGGTTTCTCCTGGCCATTTCTGTCATTGTCTCTTGAAGGAATTTTGCTATTTCCAATTTTGCAGCCATCTTCTTTTTCTGTTTTTCTTCCTTAATAGAAGAGGAAAAAGTTAATCACAACTGCAGGTTGGTGATGATAAAAGATAAAACTACCACTTTGCCTCTGTGCATCCCCACCACACATAGTATATTAACACTATTAGCAAGCCTGATTAAACAAGTTTCTAAGGACCAGAACACTGTAAAGCGGTTTCTACTTGTCTCCATAATCTTGCATTTATTTCTCATAACACAATGATGATAAGCCTCAATGAAAGGTTCTGTTATTTAGATGAGTCATACCTCCTAACCTCATCTAGGCTGCTACTTAAGCCAAACTCTGGTAGATAGCCTCAGATTTTGTTTTACAAAGAATCTAACTCTAAGCTAATTAACTTTACAGTTTGAATAGAAAATATATAATTACAATATAAAACATTATGTGCTATAATAGATTTGAAAAAAAAAACTATTCAGGAGAGAATTAAATATACATTTTGTTGTTGTCTCTCTCTATATACCCCTGGCTGTCCTGGAACTCACTTTGTAGACCAGGCTGGCCATAAACTCATAGAGTTCCATCTGCCTCTGCCACCTGAGTGCTGAGACTAAAGGTGTATGCCATCATGCCTGACTTAAAGTACATTCTTAAGACAGTTGACTAGTAGTTGTAAACCCTCATTCATCATCAGAAATGCAGTGGCAGATTTTTTAAAATAACTATGGTCAAAATGCTGGGCACAGGGTACACAGAAGTGGGTATAGTTAAGTGACTTATTCAAGAACATTTTCAGCTGGGCTGTGGTAGCATATGTCTTTAATCCCAGCACTTGAGAAGGAGAGACAGGTGGATCTCTGTGAGTTCAAGGCCAGCCTGGTCTACAGAGTGAGCTCCAGGACAGGCTCCAAAGCTACAGAAAAACCCTGTCGTGGGGGGGGGGTATTTTCATTAGATTGTTGTGAGTTGTGTCTAGATCCTGATTATTTTAAATGTAAGTAAATTAAGGCCTGCAATTCTAGCAGCTTGCAAAGGGCATCCAGCTAGTTTAAGTACATTAAACCATCTTCAGGTAGTTAAACATTACAGTTTGATTTTCCACTTTAATCTCAAACTAAGGTCTAGGGGAGTAGCTCAAAGGTAGAGTGCTTGCCATGCATGCACAAGGCCCTGGATTCTATTCCACACAGTGGCAAGGGTCTCAGGCCTTCTTTTATAGGTCACTAAGGCATCTACCTTAGTACGATTCATGAGCACTGACGAGAAACTGTAACTTGTGCTCATTAACCAAATAACAGTAGATGTTTGTTTTCCTTATTATTATTTTAAGTAAATGTTTAAAAATGTTTATTTTTATTTTATGGGTATTTTTGCCTGCACGTTTGTCTGTCCAGAGGCCAGAAGGCATTGGGTCCCTTGGAACTGGAGTTATGGATGGTTGTGAACCTCCATGTAGGTGCTGGGAAATGAACCTGAGTCCTCTGCAAGAACAGCCAGTGCTCTTAAATGCTGAGCTATCTCTTCAGCTCCTTTATTATTCTTTATTTTGTGGAACTATATAGACACCAGGTTGACCTTGAGCTTATAGCTCCTTTCCTTCCTTTCTTCCCTCCATCTTTCTCCTTTCTCTCTCTCTTTCCAGCAGTTAAAATAATAGTAGAGAGGCTGAGTGTAATGGTGCACACCTCCTGGCACTTGGGAGGCAGAGACAGGCAGATCTCTGTGAATTACAAATTACAAAACAGTCTGATCTACATAGTGAGCTCCAGGACAGTCAGCATTGCATAGAGAGACCCTGTATCAAAATACCAAAAACAAACAAATAAATAATAAGGCATAGTAGAGATAGAACACTCAATAAATAGTAGAAAAACAAGATATTTACATTTAAAAATCCTGAGACTGATATTACAAACTTTCATAAAGATAAATTGGATTGTATAAACAATACCCAAAATATAAAACTAGAAAAAAATAGAAAATTTTAACTTGGGGTTGATGAATTGGCTCAGGAGTTACAAGCACTGACTTCCAGGTTCAGTTCCTAGCACCTACATTACCCTCTGTAACTCCAATTCCAGGAGGTTCAATGCCCAATTCTGGCCTATTCAGGCATGCATGTGATACACAGCCATACATGCAGACCAAACACCCATACACAGAATATATAAGTGACCTTGAGTTAGTCAGCTTTCAGCTGTAACTCCCAAGGTATAGTCATTTCAGGTGTTTGTGCCATGAAAAAATGAACCACAAGTATAGGGGTGTAGCTTAATCAATCATTTGCCTAACACTGGCAAAGATTGGGATCCATTCACAGCAATGGAAAGAAAAGAAAAAGCTATTGCCATTTCCAGGAATGGTAGAAAAATAAGGCACAGCTGGGAGAATACATTTACAAAGTATATATTTGATAAAGGACTTGTATACAAACACACAGAGAACTCAAAATAACAATAAGAAACAAAACACCCAATTACAAAGTGGGCAAAAAGGGGCTTTGGAGATGGCTCAGTGAGTACAGTGCTTGCCCACACTGCCATGGGGCTGGACTGGCACCTGCCTACAGTCTTTCATCTGTGCAACACAGGTCAAACTGGCTAGCTACACTAGCCAAATCAGTGAGCTGTGGGCTGAAGTGAGAGACCCTGACTCAGTACACAAAGTGGAGCGCTGATATCCATATCTCTCTATCTACATCAGAACTCTATATAAGGTATACACGCTTACATACACATACATGGACACTACATACATACCAATGGTGAGCAAAATAAACACACATCCCTTCAAAGAAGTTACAGAGATGTCAAAGAAGCTAACTACTACGCACCTATTAGAATGGTAAAAATCTAGGGAATAGCATTCTTGGGTGGAATGCAGAATGCATGGCTGCTCTGGAAAACAGTGTAGCAGTTTTCACAATGCTAGCTATAGCCTTAATGTGTGCAATCACAACTGCTCAAGTTAAGAAAAAAAAACCCTGAACACAAATATAACATTTTTATTTATTATGCCTGTCTAAATTAGAAGTAATTAATTTCCAAAAAAGGTGAGCGGATTTGAAAAACATCTGTATATTCATAAATAGAATTATTAAAATCATGTCTTCTCATGGAAGAACTTCAGGGGTTTTTTGTTTCTCGAGACAGGGTTTCTCTGTGTTGTAACAGTCTGGCTGTCCTGGAACTCGATTTGTAGATCAGGTTAGCCTAGACCTCATTGAGATCTGCCTGCCTCTGCCTCCCAAGAGCTCAGGGTTAAAGGCATGATCCACCATTGCCCAGAAGTATTCATGTTTTTATGTATTGGATCTCTGAAAATGGAGTTACAGGTGGTTGTGGGCTGCCTCATGGATGCTGGGAACTGAAACAGGTTTCTCCGCCAAGAGCAGAAAGTGCTCTTAACCACTGAGCCATCTCTCTAGTTCCTTGGGTGCACAGTGTGTGATTCAAATTACATGGCATTCTGGAAAAGGCAAAACTACAGAGTGAAAACATCTACTGTTGCCAGACTGAAAGAGAAACAGTAGGTGCAAACAGGTAGATGACATTTGAGTTCTAGAATAGTGAAACTCTTCCACATGACACTATGATGGTGGGACAGAGCTGCACAACACAAGGAGTGAGCCCCCATGTCAAGCATGGGCTTTCATTGCTAACAGTGTGTATAGTGTATCAACGTTAGTTACTCAATTATAACAGGAACCATACCTATGCAAGTTGCTACTAGCGGGAAACAGGTGGGTTATGAGTAGTACATAGCAAGTCTATACTTTCTGCCCAGTTTTCCTGTAAACTTACAAAACTTACAAAACTACTCTAAAAACCAGTCTATTAATTTTTGTAAAAAGTTTTAAAATCCTGTATACCTTTTTGGATTCACTTTCAAAAGTTGATGGCAACATGTTTGGGAAGAGCTTCAGAAACACTGGTATCAAGAATTCCATAAAAGGTACAATTATGAACACCATAAATGGAACCAAGCGGAAGACATCAGCGCAAGTCCTCAACAGCTAAGAAGATAAATGCATGAGCAATATTATACATTCAGGATGTGTCCCGAACAAACAAGAACCACCAGTGGATCATAGCCTGCGTTGGTACTCAAAGTGTGTTAAAAACTAAGGTTTTCTACAATTGCAAAGGTAAGGTCTTCTCTTCAACATAGCCCTGAAGTAGCAATTATGGGCTATCCTCAAAGAAATCTATGATAATATGCATTAGAGGCATCTCTTAAAGGTCCACATTTTGATAACACAGTATTAGTTAAAATTATTTTTCCTTTTTGAGAGGAGGGGTTTATTATGTTGCTCAGGATGATCTTGGACTCCTGGGCTCAACTGATCCTGCCTCAGTACCTACAATTAACAGCATGTTCTATTGCACTTGGTTTTAAAATTGGTTTTTGAAATGCACATATATACTTAATATACTAACAACATTATATACTGGGTGGGTTAGGGTTAGGTTTTTTGGAGGCAGGGTTTCTCTATATAGCCTGGAACTCACTCTGTAGACCAGGCTGGCCTTGAACTCAGAGATCCACCTGCCTCTGCCTCCAAAGTGCTGGGATTAAAGGTATGTGCCACTACTGACTGGCTTCTATTTCTAATATATAAAAATATGAAGTCTCTCAAGTCCTTGAAGAGATTAGAAATACAATTGTAGGGCTGGACAGATAGCTCAGCAGTTGAAGAGCACTTGCTGCTCTTCCAAAGGACAGCAGTTCCATTCCCAGCACCCATGTCAGGCGGCTTTCAAGTATCTGAAACTGCAGCTCCAGGGGATCAGATGCCTGCAGCTACGCTACTGCAGACACCTGCACTCGAATGCACATGTCCACAAGCAGACACATACTGATACATAATTTAAGATAGTGAAAATAAATCTGAAGACCCTCCTAACTCTGTAAGCAGACATTCTAGCTGGTTGAAGACAAGTGAATGCAGTCTGAAACAAGCTGTCTAGTCCAGGGCTGGGAGTCCTTGCTTAGATGCTCAAGGAAGGCCCAGGCATGGCATGAAGCCTTGGTTTCTCGCCAGTAGTTATAATTTCCAACTTCGGGGGGAGCACTCTGCATCAAGCTCAGGGTCTCAAAAATGATAAGGAAGTTACCTAAGGATTTTTAAGGTGAAGATTTTACTTCATTTAAACTTTAAATTTTCCATTTCAAATATGATTCTTGCCTACCCTTCGCCTCTCCCGTCTTGTTAGTGCCTGTCCATGCAGAAGCCTCCAAACTATTCTGGCAGCAACTTTGGTGTCAGTCCAAAGTAAATAGAATCCATTGTAATAATACTTGAGTTCATCCATGATTTTTTGTCTAAAAGATCGCTTTTCTTCTGTAATCTCTGTCTCAGCTCCTTTGGGAGGTGGAGGGCTTGTTGGCTTAGGCTTTCCTGGGATTTGTTCTGGCTGAGGTTTACCAGGAAGGTTTTGTAGCCAGCAAGTTGTGTGTAGTTTTTGTGTGAGTCTAGTTCGTAAAGGATGAACTTTATTGCTTGGTAGACTGGTACAGGAGTACTTCCTGCTTCCATAGCTTTTCATATAGGTCGAATGCAAATGAGAATCTGGCAAGTGGAGAAATGCAATTGATGGTGAGTGAGAACAGGAAGGATAGACAAAATGGCTAGGCAATCTGGAAAAAAAAGAATAACATTCTTTCAGTGAGATTATTATTACAAACAAAAAAGATATTTTATCTGGTTAAAACAAAACAATAAGCCTATAGCCAACTGATGTTTATTAATGAATGAAATATAATTGTGTGTGTGTACTTGGGGGTGCTGGGCATTAACCCAGGACCTTACATAGTGCTCTATCACTGAGCTACAACATCCCCTCCCAGACAGAAATACAACTTTCTTTTTTTAAACTGACATTTAAAATACACATATACACGCATATACATAGGTATTTGAGACAGGGTTTCTCTGTGTAGTTCTGGATGTACTGGAACTCCCTCTGTAGACCAAGCTGGCCTGGAATTCAGAGATCTGTCTGCCTCTGCCTCCCAAGTGCCAAGAATAAAGGTGTGTGCCAATAAGAAGGCTGTTCTGGGAACTGAAGCCAAGTAGTTCACACATGCTAGGCATGTTCAACCTCTTCCCTCAAAACTATAACTTCTTAAACAGCTAAATTGTGTTCAATCATTGAACATATCCATATGAAAAATATTAATAAGCTAATTTTGAAGGGTAATTGCTATAGCAAGTTAGGAATTCTGCAACTGTTAATTTAAACAACTAGGAGCCAGTTCAAGGATGTAAAGGCACTTGCTGTCAAACCCTGGTTAAACCCTTGGGACCCAGGTGATGGAAGGATAGAACTGACTTCTACAAGTTGTCCCATGATCTCCATAAAGGTACTAGGGACCAGGCAGTGGTGTTGCCTTTAATCCCAGCACTTGGGAGGCAGAGGCAGGTGGATCTCTGTGAGTTCCAGCCTGGTGTACAAAGTCAGTTCCAGGACAAACTCCAAAGCTAAAGCTACACAGAGAAACCCTGTCTTGAAAAACTAAAAACAAAATAAAAACCAGAAAAAGTGTGTGTGTGGGGGATTACCAGGGGCAGTGGTATGCTCTCTTCAGTAATTAACAAAAAACTTAAAACAGTTTATCTATTCAAAAGACATATTTCTGCCAAGGACAGGAATGATGTTTTATAGTACTGTCATACTATATCTATGCTCATAAAGTAGATGAAGATTTGACTTGTGCCATTAGCTACTCTAGTGGTAACCAAGAATGTTTTAATGAAGCAACTTCATAGTCTCTGCGAGGACCAACTGATTATGTAACACTGTTTTGTCCATGTGTCTATGGACTCTAAATGATGAAATATAATTCCCCTAAAATTCCTCAAGGGTATTTAAAAATAAGAACCAGAACTGAGTACCAGACAGTGATGGTGCATGCCTTTTATCCAAGCACTCGGGAGGCAGAGGCAGGCAGATCTCTGTGAGTTCATGAGTTCGAGGCCAGCCTGATCAACAAAGCAAGTTCCAGGACAGGCTCCAAAGCTATACAGGGAAATCCTGTCTCAAAAAATAAAAAAAAAATAAAATAAAAAAATTAGAACTGAGCACCCCAGATTTTTATATTCCAATACTGTAGTTAAACTAGAAGGTAAGATCTTAAAAATAAAACACATTGGGGGCTGGAGAGATGGCTCAGTGGTTCAGAACACTAGCTGATCTTCCAGAAGACCCAAGTTCAATTCCCAGCAACCACATGATGGCTCACAACCATCTGAAATGAGATCTGGTACTCTCTTCTGGCCTGCAGGGATACAAGCAGACAGAACATAGTAAGTAAATATTTTATTTAAAAAATAAAATAAAATACATCCAAGAAAGAAAGCTACAGGTAGCCAGCCAGTCACAGAATAGCGTTCACCTTTCAACCCAGCACTCAGAGGCAGAGGCAGGTGGATCTCTGTGAGTTCAAGGCAACTCACTACATAGTGAGTTCCAGGACAGCCAGAGTTACAAAGTAAGACCCTGTCTTGTAAAACACTATAACAACAAACAAAGTAAAAAAAAAGAAAAGAAAGCTATTGACAAAGGCTTTGGTTGGTTTTTGTTTTTGGCTAAAAGATGCCTTTTTTGCCAATCTTTAATCAATTTTTTGAAACATATCTATTCTGTCTGTCTGTCTGTCTCTCTTTCTCTCTCTCTCTCATATATATATATATATATATATATGTTCTTTAAACGGCCAAAAGAGAAAATACACATTGAATATGGCATATGATGATTGTTCAGTAATATTCTGAACACATAATAACTGACAAGATACCTTAGATAGGGGTAAGCTCTGGGCCAAGATTATCCATGAGCCATTTTACTGCTTTTTACATCTGAGGTCCTCATGTAATTTTCAATAAAAGAAATCCCACTCTAAAACTATTTCATCTATTTCTCCTCTATTCTACAGCTACATAATTACTCAGTCTGCATTCTAAAGCAGTTTAAATTTTAATATGTTCTTACTAAGGATATATTTAAAATTCAGCAAGGTTTTATGTACTATGCCAATCCTTTTGTTTTGTTGGTTTCTTTTTTCTTTTTATTTTTTTGAGACACTGTCTTGGTATATAGCCCTAGCTGGCCTGGAACTCACAGAGATGAGTCTGCCTCTGCCTCCTGAGAGCTGGGACTAAAAGCATATGTTATGACATCTGGCCAGAACCCAATCAATCCTTTTACACACATATTTTCCATAAAGATTCATGAATTCATATACATATTTGTGGGAAATTCCAAACCTTACCTTGTCCACAATATAGCTAAGAATGAATTATAACTGTAGAAGGTCATATTTATTTTTTTTTTTTTGTTTCAACTAGCCAACAGAGACCTAGGCAAAAGAAGTAAACAATTTAGTATTTTAAAAAGGCAGCAACTAAATATCAGAATTTAGTTTTTTAAAAAGCTAATGCAAGGGCAGAAATTTGCATATTCAGGATGTAAAATTTCCTTCAGGTTCATTTCCAACAGTCATAATATTTTCTTTGCTCTGGATGTGAAAATGGTACTTTCGCGATCCCAAAACACAGAAATGGGTTCTAAGAAGGTGCTCGAGAAGACGATATGGCCTCCAAAGGCTTTTTTATTTCTGGTCAATTATGTCTAATCTGCTGTGACGGTTAAAAGGAGAACGACATCTTTATCTGTAACCAGAAAACACAAATAAAAAGTAAACATCCTGGATTAATTTTCAGTCTGTTTCCCATACTATTTGGCCAAGCTACAGCCAACCCCAAAATCCATTTTATGGGCGTCACAGCGAAGGCACAACAGTACCTCTAATGGTTCAAATGCAGACGGAAACCGATACCTTCCCAGTGTTACTGAATCTCCGGAGCCCGAGCTAAGCTCTGTACCTTTAACTAAAACCGTTCTCCACCCCGAGCCGCTATCCAGCTACTGGCAGCAACTCTGTTACCTCGCAATCGCGCTGAGAGGAGGTCCCCTTAGGTCCCCCCATCCCATGGAAACCTCAACCACAAGGCTACCATTGCGAACCCAGCTCAGCACCTCAGAAACCAGCCCCAACGCGGTTGGCGCTCCTTCGTAGTGGGCACCCGGCCTGCTGCCGAGGCTTCCCAGCCCCGGGCCGCGGGCCACTCCCAGGCAGTCGGCCCTGCCTTTCGGGGAACCAACCCCACGCCCAGTGCGGCGGGGTTGCCTCTGCACCCCGCGCTCGACGCACCAGTGCAAAAGGCGCCCTCGGCTCACGGCCGGCGGCCTCGGGGCGGGCTGTTGTGGGTCTGGGGACTGCTGGAGTACGGTTAGGTACACCGAAGGTGCTAGTGTCGGCGTAGCGACAAAGTTTCGGGGTTCAGATCGCGGGCCGGGAGTGAGGGGAGACGCGGGAGAGAGCGCGCGCAGGCAGCGGGGCGACGGGACCCCAAGCCCTACCTTCCCAATTCCTCCCCGCCCCCAAGCTAGAGGGGCCGGAAGCCCAGTCTCCGTGCTCCCACCTCCTGCGCATCGCCCTGTGACGTCACTCGGAGTGACGAGACTCTCATCCAATGAGCTCTCAAATTCTGGGAACCGCTCATGCCCTTCACTGTAGCTTCGTGGAAGGCAGCAGTGTCCGTAACCCTTACGGGGCCTCTAAGTGACTCCTAGGTTAGAGTTAGTTTAACGGGGGCGGCTGTACTAAAGGCACCAAAGCTGCGGTCTTTTCCCCCCTGCCTGCCCACGTTCTGCAGTGTCTACTAATAATGTCTGATAATCGCCTTAGTAACCCATCTTGGAGTCACTAACGTCATCGCTTTGATGTTTTTTCCTCTGTCCCTTCAATCTATGAAACTGCCTAGAGGTCTCTGGTTGTGAGGTCTGGGTAGCAGAAGGGACAGTACTGGGAACGAAAACTTCTCTCTCCTGCAGGGTCGAAGGCTGGAATGCTGCTTAAAGCCTTCATATGGAATTTGAATTTCACTAAAGAAATTGGTTTCTAAATGTTGTCGCTTACTAGTTTGTGTAGAAATCTCAACGTTTAAGATATATTCTAAAGTAGCTGTTAAATAAGATAAGCTTCGCAGGCTTGGGGAGAGGGAAACCAGTTCCTATGGTGAGCAACTCAGCCAACTTTGGAAAGTCAAAGTCCTGAAACTTTTTTTTCCCCATTCATTTATCCCATTATTAATTATTTCAACTTTTTTTTTCTTTGTTGTTTTAGAATCTTAGGTAGTATAGGTTGGTCTGGAACTTAATATGTAACAGAAAGTGGTCTTGAACCCCTGAACCTTCTGCCTGCTTTCGGAGTGCTTGGATTACAAGTGTGCATCACTATGACGGACTTTGGTTATTTTTGTTTTATCTATCATCTGTCTATCTACCGGGGTTTGTTTGTTTTTTGTTTTGTTTTTTTTTTTCCGAGACAGGGTTTTCCAGTGTAATAACAGTCTTGCTGTCCTAGAACTTACTTTGTACACCAGGCTGACCTCGAACTCAGTGAGATCCGCCTGCCTCTGCTTCCCAAGTGCCGGGCTTGTTTTGTTTTATTTATTTATTTATTTATTTATTTATTTATTTATTTATTTGAGACAGGGTTTCACTATGTAGCTCTGGCTGGACCGAACATGTTAGGTCGATCCACTTACCTCTGCCTCCTGTCTGCTTGGATTTAAAGGGTGTATACCACTATGCCTGGCTCAAAATTTCCTCAACCTTTCTCTTTCTGAGAACTCTGATGATAAAATTATGAGCTGTACAAAATAAAATAGATTCTGACGGCTGGGCGCGGTAGCTCATGCCTTTCATCCCAGTACATTAGAAGAAGACAGGCGGATCTCTATGAGTTCGATGTCAGCATGGTCAAACAAAGTGAGTTCCAAGACAGCCAGCGCTACACAGTGGGATTCTGTTTCAAAAGAACCAAAAAAGGAGAAAAGAAAAAATTCAGGCTGCTTTTAATCCACAGAAGTGTTTTTCAACTAAACCGAATGGACTACTTAAAATAAGCAAAACTTTTCAGTTCGGCCGCTAGGGGTCCCCTTGCGCATGTCCGACAACTTTCGTTTCGCAGTCGACTTTAAGAATAAAAATTTACAAAACCTACCCCTTCCTTTCCCGCCTTCAGACAGGGTCTAACTGGCTGGCCTGGAACTCACTATGTAAGCCTGGCTAGCAGCGAACTCACTGATATCCTCCTGCTTCTTGATTGCCATACCAGGCTAAAACTTTCTTTTTTCTCCCTGAATATTATGATTATAAGCTTTACCATAATGTTAATATTAATTTCATAAGTGAATCATCAAGTGTATTATCATAAATATGTACTTTTCTGGAAAAGATTAATAAGGGATGCAAAAGCATTCATTTCACAATGAGATATTTTATACTGGAAAAATTCTTATCCATGCTTTATATTCATTTACAAACAAGCATAGTAAAATTTATTAGATATTTATAATCCAGATGAGCTATCCCATACCCAATATTTGAAACATAAAGTAGATTTTCTGGGATGGTTACTGGTCTGTAAAAAAAAAAAAAAACGGTGGGCGGGGGTATAAGAATACTTCTTATGAAGCCCATTTGCTTAAAACAATGAACACTTTCTCCAGGCTTGCATATTTTATCAGGCTTGACATTTGGTTTTCAGGATAAATGTAAATTATATCTATCTACCTACCTATTTATCCTCTATACCTAAAGTTTTTTTTTTTGTTTTTTGTTTTTTTCAGAAGAGAAGCCTCCAAAAGTTTCTAATGCCATAACTCTAAGAAACCTATTTGTATCTTAAGGAGCTGTTTGCTCGGGGCTGGAGAGATGGCTCAGAGGTTAAGAGCACTGGCTGCTCTTCCAGAGGTCCTGAGTTCAATTTCCAGCTACCACATGGTGGCTCACAACCATCCATCCTGAGATCTGGTGCCCTTTTCTGAAATGCAGGCATGCATGCAGACAGAACACTGTATATGTAATAAAAATAAGTAAAATTTAAAAAAAAGTATATATAAAAAAGGAGCTGTTTGCTCACTTGCAATGAAAAGAGTAAGAATGGTTTGAAACTAAATATGTTACATGCTGAAAGCATAAAAGCATTATGTGTATCTATTTCCCCAAATAAAATCTCCGAGGATATTTATGAGTCCCTTAAGTGGGAAATCCAAATCTCTGATCAAAAAAGCAAGAGCATTATCGGAGGAGGGAAATGGAAAGTACTGGGAAAGGACCAAGCCACATTCATATCACTTCCCTTGTTTGCCTTTCTTATTTTACAAACTTGACTATTCATAAATTCACAAAGGTTAGACTTAAAATAGTGAAAAGCCTGGCTCAGTAGTCCTAGACTGTGATTTCAGCTACCAGGTAGGCTGAGGAAGGAGGAGTACATGGGTCCAGCTGGATACTAGCCTGGGCCACAGAGCAAGCCCCAGTTCAAAATAAATGAATACGATTAAACAGAAAATGGTTACAGATTAGCTGGGAATGGTGGTTTGTGTTTATAATCCCAGTACTCTGGAGGCTGAGGCTGCAAGATTGGCATAAATTCAAGGCCAGCTTGGGTTAAACAAAACTTTACAGATTAAAGTAGGCTAGGGAGGTGGCTCAGCAGAAATGTGACTTACATGGTGAAAGTCTGGAACCAACTTCTACAAGTGTTTTCTGATATTAACATACAAAAATTAATAATTTTTTTTGAAGCAGGATTTCTCTGTGTAACTGCCTTGGGTGTCCTAAAATTCACTCTGTCGACCAGCCTGGGCTCAAACTCACAGACATCCTCCTGCTTCTGCTTCCCAAGTGCTGGGACTAAAGGAGCATACCACCATGCCCAGCATAATTAATTAAAAATAAAAATTAGTAGTAATTGGCACAATTAATAATATTAATAAAAATAATAGTGCTAAACACACACATACACACACACACACACACACACAATGGTGTCGCAGGCCATAATTCCAGCACTCAGGAAGCAAAGGCAGAAGAACTGTATGAGTTCGAGGCCACCCTGGCCTACATAGAGGGTTCTAGGACAGCCAGGGACCCTGTCTCAAAAATGTAAATAAGTAAAATCAATTGTTTTCAGTATTACCCTTAGTATTAACAGTCATATTAACAAACACATACACATTTTAGTGCCCATTAAAATCACTGAACTGGCTGGGTTGCAGTGGCATACCCCTTTAATTCCAGCACTCTGGAGGCAGAGGCAGGAGGATCTCTGTGAGTTTGAGTCCTGCCTGATCTACAGATCGAGTTTTATGATAGCCAAGGCTGTGACACAGAGAAACCCTGTCTGGAAAAAACATCTCCCCCCCCCCACCCAAAAAAAAAATCAAATCACTGAAATGTAGAAATTTTGTAAAATTCTGAGGTGGTGGGCTGGAGAGATACTCAGCAATTGTTCTTGTAGAGTACTAGGATTCGGTTCCCAGCACCCACGTGGCTGCTCACAACCACCCATAACACTAGTTCCAGCAGATGTGACACCTCTTCTGATCTTCCCAGGGGACGTGGCACACACAGATATACGTGTGAGCAAAAGACCTATAAACATAAAATTATAAAATCTTTAAAAAAATTCCGAGGTGGTATTTGAAAAGAGAAACACATCAGCAATCTCTCGTAATGGTAGGAAATAGCTCGAGCACTGTAGTATGTATGGAGAGTATGACACTTTGTAGTGATAGGGTTCCGTGATTCTCAGAACAGAAAGCAAGAGCGTGTATCGGTTTCCTCATCTGATTGCTACGTATGTTTCTTTTGTAAGTTCATGTCTCTGGTTTGGACATTCTAAGTAATTACCACCAGGCCCCGGGAAACTACATTTGCACTCCATTTCCAGACTGTTTACCCGGCCCTGTCATTGTTTTATTCGTATTTCCTAGAATGGGGAGGGCTGGAGGTTTGCAGAGCACTGCCTCCTTCCTCTTACTCTCGGGTGATCGCTCTGGGACAAATACCCCCACGTCACCCGGTACGGAGGTCTGGCCCGGAGCAGCGCAGGGCCCGGACACGTGACCCGCCCGCAGTGCTCGCTGTGGCCCACGGCCCGGGATGCAGTCGCGTTGACGTCCTCCTGGTTTCCCACAAGCCTCTGTGCCCTGGTGCGGGCAGGAAGAGGGCAGCCGGGTCCAGTGCCTGCCCGGGAGGTCGGAGAGCCCTCTGAGCCGCACGCGGACGCTGCCCGGCGCCCCCCCCCCCCCGTGCTTGCAAACTGACAGCTTTCCGTTTCTTAGCGTGGGAAAGGGAGACTGGCCCGTCTCAGGCTCTCGTCCTAAAGTGCAGCCCCTTGTCGGGACGCGAGGGGCCAGAGCGCTCTGCTGACAGCTGTCAGAGTGACAGCGACTCCCGCACCTGAGCACTCCCCGGTCTGCGTAATCGCGTACGGGTCATTAGCTTCTTCCTAACATCTAGGAATTGTAGAGCAGGGCCACTCGAGTTCCATATGTCGTGTAGTACGTGCTGTCGTCTAGTAAGTATTAGCCTCGCAGGCCCTCCGCACCAGCCCTTCCTGTCCCTCTGCTTCATCGCCTGCGGTCTCGCGTCGGCTCCTGACTCTCGCGCGCCCCTCCTCTCCGCGGCTGGCGAGCTTCTTCCTCCTTCGCTCCCAGCGCCCGGGCCCAGGACTTCATTTCCCGGCAGGCACCGCGGCCTGTGGCCAATGAGGAACCTAGGATTTGGCGGCGGCGCCGCCGAACGGGGCGGGGGGGCTTTGTGCGCGGAGGCGGCGGCGGCGGCGGCGGCGACGGCGGCGGGAGCTGGCGGCACGGAGATCCGGACGGAGGCCGAAGCCGGGGCTGGGTGCCGGGAGCTTAGGAGAGGTGTGCAGCTTTCGATTGAAACCCCGGACCCCGCTGCCCTTCGGTGCCGCCAGCCTCCTGCTCCTCTCCGGCACCAGCAGCTACTCGGCGACCCCCGTCCGGCCGCCTCCCCTTCGCTCCGCGTCGCCCGCAGCCTTCCGTCTGCCCGCAAACGAGCCCGGCCGGCCGGGCCGTGGCCCTCCTCAGTGCCGGCAGCCATGGCAGGGGCGCTCGGCGCGGGGGAAATCTAGTCCGAGGATTTCATGCGGCCTAGCTCGGTTCCGTCTCCTGCGCCCGCGGTCCCGGCAGCTGCCGGCAACCCAGCCCCGCTTCGGGCCTCCGTGTCTCTCCTGTGATCGTACTGACACGGCCGGGGGGTTAGAATGGAACAAACTGAAGGTAAAGTGTGTGTGTGTGCGCGTGTGCGTGTGTGTGCTTGCTTGTGTGTGCTTGTGTGTGCTTGTGTGTGTGTGTGTTGCGCGTCAGGGTAGAGGAGGCTCCTTGGGGTGGGGGCGACCTACGACCCAGACACCGGTAAGGAGTGAGACCCTGGAAGGGGAGGTGCCGCCGCGGGTGGCCTGAAAGGGTTCGAGGAAGGAAGAGCAGATGGTAAGGTGGGTGTGGAAGGAATTGGGAGGTGGGGCAGGTAGGCTTGGGATATGATGTAGTGGTGCTGAGCTGGGAATTGGGAGTAGAGGTGGGATGGGGGCGGGGATAAGCATGGAAACGGGGGAGGGGGAGGGAAAGAGAAGAGTTAGATTTGGACATTTAGAGATATCGGAAGACTGCAAATTAGGAGGTCTGTAATGGAGTGTGGAAACTAGAAGAGTTGGGGGAAACGGATAGGATTGATGGAGAACGAGGCATCTTCTGAGAATTAAGGGAGAAACTAGTGAATCAAAGTGGGGAAGAGATAAGATTAGGAAATAGGGATGAAAAACGATTGTGTCAGGATGCAGTAGGAGGATAGGAAATAGACGCAGGAAACCGAAAGACATACGATTGGGCTAGGGAAGGACATTAGCTGAGTGTTGGAAGGGATGAGAATTATCGACCAGGCGTCACAGAGTGTGAGGAAAAGGATGGGGATTATTGAAGTGTTAGAAAGGAAAGTCTTTTGTTCCTATATTTGTGTGTATTCCATCTTGTATTTCAAGGCTAGAGAAATAGAGAAGCTAGTGGTTATGGGGTTGTGATTGTTGTGAAATGAGGGAGGTGTGGGTGTTACTGTTCTGAGAGAAGAGGAGATGTGTTTGTGTTATGGTAGGGAGACAGGGAAAGATATGGCCATAATTTGATGGTTTTGGTGAGGAAGTGAAGACTATTCAGATTTAAAGGGGGCAGGGGCAGCCATGTTTGCTACCAGGCACTACAGTGTAAATAAATTCCTTTTCCTCTCCGACATCTGCGTGAATTTGGAACCGACCAGTTCACATTGTTACACCCCCCTTCTATTCATGAACTTCTCTTACCTCTTGGGTCATTTACAATTACTCATAACCATCAAAGAAGGTAGCGATGTTTTACATCGTGTGTGTTTTGCTGTTTCTCTCTTTCCCCTCTTCAGGTTGCAAAAAAAACACACTGATAAATTGCAGTGTAAAATTTAACCTTTTTATAAATTTAAAATTAGATTTTTTTTTTTGTTTTTACTAACTGAAGAAATCATTACTATCATTTCAAACATGATTGTGGAAAGTCTTAAATATTGATTGGTTTCAGACAGCTCAAAAGCAAGTCAACATGATTTTTTTCAATTCTTTAAGTAAACAAGGAAATTGCATCGGTTATTTTACCTGGGGCACTCTTAGGAAGGGGTGGGGAAGATCAGCCTGTGGTAGATGATCTGCTTGCCTCATTTTTGAATATTGGAAAATTAGAAATGTTCCTGGTGATAGGTGATATGCATGTTGTTATGAATAATGCTTTTTTTTTTTTAAATTAGCTTCCTATTACCTCTTTGCTTTCATGTAGTCTCCAATTGCCAGATCAGCACAGCACTGTGATCTGTGAAGTAGGCATGCATGTAATCTAGGCATGCATGTAATCATTGAGTTGCCAGCTCTAGGGGGTGGGTGGATGGCAAGTTCTGTCACTGTCAGGAAAGCTACAGTGATCCTTTAATGCATTCTGATATGACTGCTTATATGATTCTAAATAGTTACAAAGGGTCTAAATCTTGACAAAGTGAATAAGTTAGTATTGGGTGAAATCTACTTTCTTTTCATATTGAAAAGGATTCAGTATGTACCTTACTTAAAAAATAATTGTAATTGTGGTAATCCAAATTTTAGTATTAAAACTATTTTCTAATACCAGAAAGTCCTATTACCTATATAATGGGCTCAATCCATTTGTACTACAGACTGATTCAACAAATTATAATAGTAATGTTCTCTTGGTCTTTATAGAGTTTTATGGAAAACTTTAATATTGTTGGAATTATTGAAGTGGTACTTTCTGAGATTAGACTTGTTGGTGTACACGTTAGATTTATAGCTCAGTGTTTTGATTTGACAGTATCTAGCCTGATTATTATTATTATTATTATTTTTAATTTTGGAGACAAATTCCATTTAAAAAAGCTATTCACCATGTACTTAGAATTTATTTTGATGCAGGTATTTTATGTATATTTCTTTCTTGATTGACATACTATTTGTAATTAGTAAATTTATGTGTGTGAACCTCCTTTTAGGAAAAGGAGCAATAATAGCAAACATCTATTTGGAAGCTTGAATGAGCCACCTTAGAGTGTTCTGTTCTGGGCTCCTTGGATAGGTCAAGAAGGTTACTGTAGTTAGTAAACGCCTGAAATCTACATCTGTGCTGGCTACTACTGTGCTCATCAGCAGCCTAATTGGTACTTGAAAAAAAATTTTTTATTTTTTTATTTTTTTTTGTATACGAATGTTTTGCCTGTTTGTATGTCTCTGTCCACAGAGGCTAGGAGAGGGAGGGTATCAGGTCACCTGGAATTGGAATTAAGTATGTGTGCTGGGAATTGAACCACTGAGCCATCTCTCTGATCCTGTTATTGTTTTATTTATTTTTTGAGACAGAGTCTCATACATCCCAGGCTGGCCTCCAACTTTCAATATAGCTGAGGCTGACCTTGAACTTCTGATCTTCTTCTGTCTCCTGAGCATGCTAATAGTATAGGCATGTACTAACATGCCTGGGTTATAGAGTGCTGGAGGACCCACTTAGGGCTTTTGCTACAAGCACTTTGCCAGCTAAACTACGACCCTCTTCCCTTTTTTCAGATGGTCTTATAATGATTAGATTAAAGGAATTTTGAATGAAGAAAGCTAAATACCCACAAAACTGAGTGGTTTTTTTTTTTTTTTTTTTTTTTTTAATTTTTTTGGCCCAACTGCCCAAAGTAACTCTAAAGACAATAGTTTCTGGAAATTTGAAATAATGATAATCATAATATACAGTAATAGCTATAGTGATAGTTGTTTTCTTGCAGTGTGCTATGCCAAGTGTCCTACAAGTATGGTCTCCTTTTATCTTCCCTGTGGTTTTCTGAGACTCTACTTCTAACTGCTTTTGCAAATGGAGAAACAGGTTAGATAACAACATTGCAAGTGTTATTAAATATGTAAATAACTGAGCTGGTATTTGAGTATAGGTCTTTTGAATTACAGAACCCAGGGCAGCAAACTGTTTCTGTTAGTTTCTTCTTTAAAGTCACATGCTTATTATTATTTAAAATATTTCAAAAGAATAGTGCTCCCAGTTGTCACTATAACTACTTGGGAATGTCTTGAGTGCCCTAAACAGTTTCTGTGGATTTACTTAACATACATAATGGGCTTACACTCTAATTCTAGAACCCAGACTTCTGAGCTACACCTTGGCCTTTTCTTACTTTATGTTGAGTTGCTCAGGCTGTCCTCAAACTTGATATCCCCCTGCTTCAGTCTTTCATGTATCTGAGATTATGTGCGTCACAGCACTGGCTACTGTTTTGCTTTGCTCAGTTAGCAAGCATGTGGACCTACAATTTTTGTTTTAGAATCAGGTAGAGGTTCATTATTTGGAATACTACCACTTAAGTTAACCCATTTGCTTGATTGATTGTTTTTGAGGCAGGGTCTCACTATGTAGCTCTGGCTGTTCTGGAACTTCCTATGTAGACCAGGCTAGCCTCAAACTCACAGAGATCCATCTACCTCTGCCTCCCAAGTGTTGGGATTAAAGTTGTTCCCCATTAGGTCCAGCTAAGTTAAACGATTCTTTGGCTATTACGAGAATATAGTTAATTTTGACATTTGTAATGGTCTGTTTGAATGGAAGATAAATGGTACAACCTAACTTACTTTACAGAAGAAAACAAAACAGAACAAACAAACAAACAAACAAACAAAAAACCCCTAAGGCCCACAGAAGTTAAGTCCAAGGCTTTGGTAACAAACCAGTGGCCTGGCTCTTAAGACCACATTACTTTACTTCCTTACTAGGAGAGTCTTCCAGCCTGTCTCAAGGTGAGAGGCAATGAGCTGAGGTCAGGTAGACTCAGCATGAGTTCAGGGAGCTGCAGTAAGCCAGGCTTCATGCTGATGTCTTTTTCACACTTACATAGGTAGCATGTCCACAGAATGTTTTATGTAAATGAATTATATCCAGGCTATCTTGAAGTTTGTGTTTTGTGTAATGAAATAGGTTTTGGCAGGATTCTCTTTGTTGTAATGAAATTGTCAATGAAATAGATAGCAATGAAGAAACAATCAAACAAGCAACTAGAAGCCTTGTCGTGGTCCTAAAGTAAAACTGAGACACTGGTCAAGTTTTCTTTGTTTTTGTTTGTAATGAGCTGAAAATCCCTAATTAAAAACAATATTTTAAAAACATCTCAGGTAGGACATGGTGGCATGCCTTTATTCCGAGTACTTGGGAGGCAGAGGTAGGTGGATCTCTGAGTTGAGGCCAGCCTGGGATACATAGTGAGTTCCAGTACAGCCAGGGTTTCACAGAGTCCAGAAATAGATAATTATCAAGAAAAATTGTCAAAGCTGGATAGTGGTGGTGCGGGTCTTTAATCCCAGTACTTGGGAGGTAGAGGCAGGCAGATCTCTGTGAGTTTGAGGCCAGCCTGGTCTACAGAGCATGTTCCAGGTCAGCCAGGGCTACACAGAGAAACCTCCCCCCCCCCTCTCTCTCTCTCTCTCACACACACACACACACACACACACACACACACACACACACACACACACACACGGTTGTAAAATACAAAGCTAGGAGTGGTAAACATTTAGGATCCCAGCACTCAGGAGGATCTCAAGTCTGAAGCCAATCTGGTCTAAACAGTGAGACTTTATCTAAAAAAATGACATACACACAAAGACTTAAATACCTCCTTACTGAATAAATGAGAAGCACAATATGGA